ACACATGCACAATGCGAAGGCAATGCATGCATGCTCAAGAAATAATACTACTCACTAATTTCAAATCTATATTAGGGGCTGTTTATATGGTCCCGCGCCTACCCGGGATTCAATGAAGTGTGACGTATTTTGAACAATTGAAATAAGTCTTACTTTATGATCTAACAAAATTGCTTGTTACAAATTGTATGAAATTCCACGTTTTAGACAAAAAAACAACAAATGTTGTTGAATGCTATTAATCGTCTTCTTCCACTACATAACTTCTAGCGCGTTCCTAATTTCGTTTACACAATATTTATAAAGTTATCTAACTTTTGTTTAAGGTTGAAACACGTATTTCAATTGCTCTAAATACGCCACACTTCATTGAATCCCGGGTAAGCGGGACCATATACCATATAACTCAGCCCCTTAGAGCTCATAGACGTTAACGTTCTTACTGAATTTAAAATTAAGGCCAGAATATTTTGTTGTTAAGAAGAGAAATACTGCATGTATTTGCAAAGGCCTGATTCCACGACGGCAAAATTCTTCGCGAGAAATTGTGTCTGCGAAATATGGATGGTTGCACACATGAACGACTCCACAACCTCGTACGCAGAGTCGACTTCCTCTTGTGGAGAAAAAACCCTGGTAGACGCTGGTCACGTGATCTGCTAAAATCTAGCAGATTTCTAATTAACTATCTTGGATTCATACAAAAAGCAAATTATAAATTAAAGTATAAAAATTATCAAAATATCAAATATTTATTGACCTCATCTTGGTTTGCTAATTAAAAATCTGCTAGATTTTAGCAGATCACGTGACCAGCGTCTACCAGGATCTTTTCTCCGCAAGAGGAAAGACCCTGGGTACGAGGTTGGCGATTCCATTGAATTTTCCCACTTTTTCCTCTTTCGCAGTGAGTACTAACTTCTACTTTTTCTACTCACTGGTGAAGCGAATTTTTTTTCTCGCGAAGCCTAATTTATCTTTACTGCGCATGTACGCAACTTCATTTCGCGCGAACTACCTGAGCGCTGATTGGTCGAGAAGCGTGTTACTTTCTATATGAATTGTAAAGAAACACTGGAAAATTTGCAGCCTCGCACCTCTTTTAAATTTCAGTGAAAATATAAAACAATAATACGGACATTTTGCGTTGTCTCATAATAATATTGTCCGCATTACAGAGGTTGAATGTACAAATCTTTGCCTAAATTCGACAAACACCTTAAAAATTTGAGAATCTATATATAGTTTATTTTTGGCACTGATATTGTAATTATTTGTATAGTGAAGGAAGAACGCCACAAAACCTGCTTCGAGAAGCAAATTCTCCCACTGAGCTTTAGAAATTGGTCGCGCTTCAACTCTTGTTGATAATTGCATGGCAAACGGTATACAAACAACATATTGTCATTCCCCTTATATATACTAGATGTCAAAATTTCCGTGATCTTATACTGTACTGAAGTCTATATTTGAGCACAAATTAAAGAACTGTGATTACTGGGTCAACCTATACTACAGCTTGCTGATCTGTACAGTTCATTATCAGAAACTTGAAAATATATTGTGTTCGCTTGGTTTTCTGATGTTAGATAATTGTCTATCAGCCTGGTAAGTGCTTACTCATTGTTTATTGTAAATCTCCAACCAAATTTGTAATATAGACTGCATGAATAGGGTTGACTGGAATTTTGATATATTGATAAAATGTTTAGGTATTTCTCAAGATTATTTCGTATATCGAAGGCACGGAAAGTTGAACTATATCATCACAGCTCACTATATAACGTATTGTTTCTGTGAAATATATCTGCTTTGAATTCTCTATACTATAAACCCTTCAACAAAATTATCTTCTTAACAGAGGACAGAATAGAAGGATTTAAGGATTTAGTTTAAAAACGACTGACACTGGATGTTAAATTTATTGTATTCTGGTGCACTTTCGTTTTGCAAAACAATGTACTGTATGCCAAACAGACTCGCTCCACTCACCCACACGCGTCCCCGAATTTCAGAGGAGTAATTTCATAAGTTCTTTCAATAATCTCCCCCAGCTCTACCGTCACAATAAATAAACCAATGTATACAAGTGAATCATATTAATAAAATGACTAAATCAAATGTAGAAATACAGAACATTTTTTATTTTAACTAAATCCTGAGTTAACTGCGCATGTTTGAGTAAGTTTCTAGATATCATGTTATTTCGTGTAAAAGCACTCGATTTTCAGCAATAGTAATGCTCAAATAAACGAGGCATTTATTATTCTGCACCAATTAAACAGCTCTAATTTGGACATTCCATAGTTAATTAACAAAATTGGTATAGCCAGTTGGTCGATGGTTTATCATAAAAAATGACGAACACCTATCTTATAAATTCGAACATTTTGTTCCATGCGCATTGTTGTCTGCAGACTGGTGAAAAAAGGAAAACCACAAAACCTGGAACTGAACAGATTGGAATAAAAATCGAATTCTCTTTTATACCAAAATGTATCCAACTGAGTTTTGGAAATTGGTTGCGCTTCAAAGCTTGTTGACAACTATTAACTATAGATACAACGTAATATATTTTCATTCGCCTTGCACGCAGATGTCCACATTTTCGTGTCTTCATGCAAAACTTTATATTTCAGTATAAATTAAAGCACTGCGATTGCTGTGGTCAACCTATCACTATACTGTACTTGGTGATCTGTACAGTTCATTGTCAGAAATAATAAGGGTAAAGTTAACTTGCCTGCTGCCGTCACTTTCCGATTTTAGACTGATAATTGTTTATTAAGGGAAGCCTCACATATCGATTTTTTCCACGAGAAACGTCATATGTTCGTTTGGGGGTGGGGGGGGTTGGCAGCTGTGACGTTTCTCTGCAAACATCATGGAAAAAATCGATAGTTCTTATCTTTGCAGAGTATAAAAAAGAAAACAATTTGATACAAACAGCAGTCTATATATTCGTAATACCATACCTGTTCTATACCTATACATTTATATTATTACGCCTTCTTTGGATTTGAAAACACTCAAATTTCAAGAAATACGCGCTAAAATTATCAATATTTCATGCAAAAAAAGTTGTTTTGAGAAACGTTGGAAATTTTGAAGTTCACATATATATTAATAAAAAAAGCCAGTATGTCAGCAGAAGATGACATATTTCTCGCGGAAGCATCGCCAATAGCCGACCGAAAAAAATAGTAGAAAATTACCTTATGTGTACTATAAGAACAAAATATTGATAACTATGTGTGACGTTTCTAAGGGGGGGTGGGGGTGGGGGGTCTCCAGAGAAACGAACATATGACGTTTCTCATGGACAAAATCGATATGTGAGGCTTCCCTAACCTGGTAAGTGCTTACTAGTTAGTATATTCACTGTAAATCTCTATTGCGAAACCTCTAATAGACTGAATGGGGTTAACTGGAATTTCGATATACAAGTTGATGCAATTGTTAAGTATTACTCAAGATTATCGTATCAAAGACAAAGGTGGAAAGTTCAAGAGGAAATATTTTATATATATTTCCTTAAAAGGGATGTTACAAAGACTCCAAAACCGAGCGGCAAGGGTTATTTCAGGCGACTCATATGAAGTACGCTCCCTAGTGATATTTTGAGCAAACTGAACTGGAAAACGTTAGAAGAAAGGCGAAATGAGCAGCAATTAAAATGTGTATCTAAGGCTCTTGCATGCCAATGCCCTGAAAACATTTCGAACATGTTTATAATGTCCAATTCTGAACGATACGACTTAAGAAGCAACAATAGCAAGGTTGTACTAGCGAAACCAAAAACTAATTCTTTGAAAAGAACATTCAGATATGCTGCTGCTAAAGTCTGGAACCAAAGAGTCAGTTAACTTAGTAGTAACTGTATTTTTACACTTTTTGGGAGGGCTTCACTGGGGGGAGGAGGGGTAGTCAGTTAAATAAATAGTAACTGTATCTTTTACACTTTTTGGGAGGGTTCACTGGGGGAAGGAGGGGCGTTGTAGTTTGTATTTATCACGGCCTAATGAAAAGCAACCTTTCGATTTGTAAATATTTTAATGCTGGTTGATTAGTCACCGTGTTTAAAGATGTTTTTAATAAATAATAAATAAATAATGTAGCGCACAGTAATGTAGATGAATTCTTTAATTACGGTATCTGCTGGTTTAATACAGTTGCTGTGTTTGAAGGATTTACGCAGACTAATGATGTTTTAGCTCTAATCTGAAACCGAACCTGAAACTACATGAAATTTGAATTTTTCATAAAAACCTATCCGGAGGGGCTTGGCAT